AGCATTTTAAACAAAGTAAACAATATTAGGTGCCATTTCACATATTCTAAACACGGTTTTTGAATGAAGGACTTAAACTAGATATTAATAATTACAAAGGTTGAAGCTAAGAAAGCACATGAATTATTTAACAATGAAAGCAGCAATTCTGTCTGAAGACAGCTACTTAGACGCAGGCCACTGTGTGTGTCTAGACGTTCTGAGGTATTCCATCCTGATCCTTATTGGGGCAAGGCAGGCTGCTTTTACCAGTGGCCCAGGAAGCTGAAACTTGAGCCTTACCTATGCTTAGCTCCTAGAAGCGTCTAACAGACACAGAAATCTGAAGCAGATACCTGCTTGCCTTTGTTTGTTTTACCTCCCATCACCTGGTACCACTATGTATCCTGATTGTCCAGGAGATGGTCTCCTTCTTATGAAACAGTTAAACAAGCATATAAATTCACTCACAAACAATCTGCCTTTAAATGCATGTTGCTATACTTTTTAGAGACTTTCGGAACTTGTGAAAGATGATGTTTCTAGTGCATGAGGATATTGAGTCAATAAAACTTGTTAAAAAGAGCAAACCAAATATTGGATAGTGGTCATGATCAGCACTTTTGGGGTCCCATATAATACGATTCACTTATAAGTAACAGGTATCACTGAAACGCAGTAACTATTGGGTTTCTGGATGACAGAAAGGTCACTAAGATTATTTAAACTTGAAATCAGATTTTCAAAGTTTAGGAAAATGTAAGCTTGTCAGTTTAATGTTTGGCGGTTCCCAGAAACAACTGAAAGAAATGAAAAGTCAGAACAGCACTAGGTAAAATAAATAAAGACTTTTAAGATTCAATAAAAATAAATAAAAAAGTAAAAATTTTAATGTCACAGCAAATCAAACATAAGTAGCTTATGTGAGGTACTTACGAACTCATATGTTTACTCAAGACTGATAGTTCCAGTTTTAGTGCTACTCTTAATGTTGGTTTGAACTTGGTCATTTGCCATTCCTGTCTGTGGGGTCCTTTAACATTACATTAGGAATGATCAATATAAGTGATTTTCTGCAAGGTTCAGAATCTTGTTCTTCATAAATAGAGTAATGAATAGAGGACTGGCCTGGCCGGGACAGAGTTGCTTTAGTTGGATTTTTAATCTTCTCTGGGATTTAGGCATTTTCTCAATAAATTCTGCCCCTCATCCTGTCTTTTCTCCTTGTAGTGGCTGGAAACATGGATTTTTCACATGAGGCAAATGAGATGCTCTGGCTTACACAGTTCATTTGCAACGATCTGCTTTCTGTTCAGTTATCTTTTGGTTGTGTTTTCCAGAGCATCAAGTGTTT